AAATTAGACGTTCATAGTAGCATCTTAATGTGAATTATTAGGTTTATTAACAATTACGAAGTCTGTGTTTTTTTAATCAGTTCACATGTGAACTAAACTGGACCAAAGATTTGCTGTGTCATTTTTTGAGATCCCAACCAGGTGTCGAAAAGCAAAAAACAAAAGAATGATGTGTCGGTGTGGAATATGAGCGCATGAGTTGGTGCCTTTTTGACGTTTTAAAAATGAGAAGACGTGATAACTCAGAGCCTGTGAATACAGTATAGGTGTTAAAAAAAAATAATAATAATAAAATAAGAAAATACAGTAAAATAGTAATTGAACAATGTCGCTAATACATAATGAATGTTACTATATAGTATATAATAATTGAGCGATGCTGATAATTGTTAATGACTTTGTTAGGTGTGAATGATATAATATTAGGAATTCATATTTTCTCCGGAGAGAATCTTGCACGTGCTGTTTTCGTGCAACGTGTCCATGTCGAATTTTAACACAGTGGTCCGCGCGAAATGTTGTTATGTTCAGTTCATTATAATAACATGGTTTTCAAGAACAAAATTGATATCCTGTTTTTTAAAACTACAGATTGATAATGGTAAGGTTTTTTGGACTAAAATTATTAAATATTCCAACAGTATCGCATCATTATATTTGTGCGTATCTCACCAACCAAATATCATTTGAATACACTAAAAATAACATTTCGACAATTAAAAATAATGATCAAGTTTGAAGTGGAAAGAGACAGACAATTGTTCAAAGAAACGTTAGGTGATTAGAGAAAGATACGCACATATATTTGTAAATTTTTATTCTACTGCTTTGAAGATACGCACTTATATTTATAGTCATTCTTTTAAGTCTTTTGGCTAGACAAGTTTAAAAGTCAGAATTAAATAAGTTTTAAATTAATTCTCACATGACATGAAAAACACATGCATCACTCACCCTCACTTTAAGAATATCATCTACTACGAAATATCACTAAATCACAAGTGAATGTGAAATTGTCACATAAACTTGTTTACTTTGCCCACCATTAAAAGTTTGCATTGCCGAGCGGAGATGATTCATTATCTGAGTATAAAATTACCTGATAAATTTTATTAAAATATAAATATATAATATGGGAAAATGTATAGTAAAAACACCTATTCATACTTTTCCATTACCACTCAAGTTTAAAATGTCTATTCACCTATTGTTATTGTTATTATTATTATCATTCACTCAATCTTGGATGCCCACGTAATAAATTATTGAGAAAATTATATTTAGGTAGAATTTGGAATTCTAAATAACTAATTCGTCTATAATTTTCAATTCACATGTAATTTATTTTGATAAATAGTCAGCACCTTATTTCAAGAATTAATTTAATTTGCACTCTCAAATAAGCCTCCAGTACTAAAATCGTTGGTGCACAAATAATTAAACCTACTCATTGGTGACCTCGAAAACTGAAAATACGTTGGGAATCAATGACCATTTACAATATATAGTTGCAAATACTTACCCTGTCTTGAATAAACGTCATTCACTTTGAAATACCACTAAATCACAAGGTTTTGGTGCTGTCACCTAATAACATAATGTTTGTAACATATGATTAACCCCTTATCGAGGACGGACGCCAGATATGAATTAACTAAGATGCCAAGCGAATGTGAAATTGTCACATAAACTTGTTTGCATTACCTAGCGGAGATAATTCATTATCTAAGTACAAAATTGCCTAATAAAATCTTATTTCAAACGGTGACACAAGTTATCTTGGCTTGGCTAATGTAGGGTTGAAGATGCTGCTCAGTCCAAGTATGAGCTTAATTGGATGAGATTAGTCATATTCAAAAGATATCACACCCAAGTCCAATGAAAAAATCAAATTTAGAGTGGGAGAATGCACTTAATACGTTGGATCAGTATCATAGATTTTCACTATGCTGATTCTAAGAAATTGATAGTGATGAAAACTGATATGAAAAAGAAAAAAAGAGGAAGAAGAAGAAGCATGCAATACCTTACAAGTAAAAGAAGAAGTTGTAAAGATAAACATTGTTCAATAATTAAAATTCATTCAACATTTGTTTTTGTTTTCCTCACGAATGATAAAAAAAATTTATTGATGGCTTGGCTTTTGTGCCTTTGCAATGAACAAAAAAAAAATAAAAATAAAATAAATAAATAAAAAATAAAAATCTTGATCTCATTGATATTTTTGTTCTCCCTACTTCCGATACTCTCAAGATTTGCCGATGGAGACATATATATATATATATATATATATATATATATATATATATATATATATTGTAAACATCATTTAACGAAAAATAACGTACAAGCAAGGTCGGCCTGGCATATGCGACCTAGAGAAGGGTCTCAAATTTAGGATCATTGTACAAATATAGTAGTATATGTGCCAATTAAAAGCACTTACAAATCATGTAAATTTATGGCAATAAATAACTTTCAAAAAAAATTATGGCAATAAACATACGTACTTATAATATCAATTTAATATGTAATACAATAATTTGTTTGGTACCAATAAATTGTTCATGTCCCCTCCCTTCAAAAGAAAATAAAAATTATATTCAAACTCAGAAATTGGTTTATTTTTATTATTATATCATTTTTGGGCTCATGTTCATGCATGACAAGTTCCGTTAAACCTAGACCAAACAACCATTTCTTAATTAGTGGGTGCAATCAACTGTCACATTCTTTGAAATAACCTTGAAGATCTCCTAAAATATGACATGACTTCTGATATTGATGGGACACAATTATTTTTCAGAGTTACAAGTCTTAAGAGAAGCTTTACCAAGAGGAACAAAAAAATAAATTGAAGTATTGTATTTTATAAAAAGGCTAGGTTATTGTTTTTCAAATGTTTGGATTGCCCCTATACAGTATTATTGATTATTCCAGTTCCATCTACTTATATCAATTTTTCAAAGTTGAAGTTAATCAAATCTTTCGTACGGTTGACGATGTCACAAAAAGAGATTGAATAGATTGATTGACTATGATATCTATTGAAAAAGATATATTGGAGAAACTTGATTAGAGCACTTTAATTAATAATTTACAGCTCAAAATGTAAGGCAACGATCACATTTACTCTAATATGATGTTGAATTTTGATTTTTGGGATTAAGTTATGTTGAGTATTTCCTTTTAATATTCATATAAACTGTATCATACTTTTTATAAAGTATCAAGACTTGGTTTTGTTTTTTGTGTTTTCAACATTAATATATTTTATGTGTTTATTGTCTCATTTTAATAAAAGTCATGCATTCTTATGTATAAAGGGCCTCGCATGCAATGCAAAATTCGCCCGAGGCCTCTCAAAATTAAGAATCTCAGGGCCGGCCTTGCCTACAAGGAAAGTTTAGGTATTTTTATTAAATATGAGGATACATTAGTGTAATTTTGTCCTTTATCTCCCTTGAATTTATATAAAGAATATTTTAAGTGTGTGTATGTAAATGTAAATGAAACAATGATATACTGCAGTTAGAAACTACATACAACAATGAACTTATATTTTTATTTGACAATATTTGAACTTTTAAAAGGAAGTTAAAAGGGTTTATTTATGAAAAGCTTCAAATTGAAATTTTCAAAAAGTTTTGAGTGGATATAATTTCTATTTATTTCTAAACTCATAATTAATTGGACAAATAAATAAGTATTTTGAAAATTTTGACGGCCAATTCAAAATTTATATGAGTTTTGAGTCCAAAAGTTAGGTTCATTTACTTCCCAACAACCAATATATATAAATATATATATACATACATACATACATACATACATACATACATGGAGGCATAAAGAAGAAATTGGAATTTTGGATCACGTTGTCTTTTTAATGAACTTTCTTCCACCAAGAAAAAATGAAAAAGGAAAATGCTTATGATTCCATTGGCTATAAATACCCATGCCATCTCCCTTTTATTTCAAGACAACCCTTCCTTGTTTTTGCGAGTAGCTAATGTTCATTTTGTTGCCTTCATCTCGGTTCTAGACTTCTCTTTCTCCGAGTTTTTCACTGTTCGTCGCCTTCCACTTCCATAACCCTCATTGGCACTTTAATTTGCTCCAACATCTCACAGCCTTTCCCATCTCTTCTTTAATTTTTGGTATGTACGTATTTAGTTTCCGTCTTTTTGGCTATTAAATCTGTAACCTTTCTCTTTTCTATTTTTGTTTTACATATCAGCAGCAATTTTATAGTCAGAGTAATTGTTCTTAGTATTCACCTAGAAATATAAAATTGCTTGTCTAAACTATTCTTGAGTCGTCGTTGTCATTGTAGTCTTTATTCCATCACCTATATATAGGTACTATTCTTGAGTGTCAACCTCTACAAAGTTAACCAGAAACTCCCAGGGATAATTATTTGATTAAACTTATGGAGACACACCTCCAAATATATACGTAGTGAGTCTAGTGAGCAAGGACGAAATTGTATCATGTATAACTGCGTGCGTACGTTATATATATATATATATATATATATATATATATATATACACATATCGATATATATTTGAGATTTTCTATTGAAAATATTCTACTGTATACCTTATAAAATGCCTTTGAATATGCTAATAAAATGACGCCCTAATAAAATAGTTTTGATATGTTGAGTCTGCTGGCCAATCCAAATGCCGAATGTGAGATAGTCCACTTGATTATAATTATAACTCGGACGCGCTGCGCTTTAAGGAGTCAGTGGCCTTGCTAAGGCCAAATTATGCCCCTCAACATTCGGTTTGTCTCCAAATTTTTATCCCATATAGACGAGAACTAATTTCATTTGCAGTGCCCACTCTAGCTTTTTTCTACTTTTCCTTGAATTGCTGCATACTTGCACACATGACACTGATACATATATCTATCTATCGCCTCTTCATTTATTTAATTACTTTCTCATTCAAATTTGAAGTACTAAACTTATTTATAGCTTTAAGGACTCCATGGCGAATGAGGGGACAGTTACTTTCGGACCATATGGTAATTCAGAACCTAATAATCATTGGGACGACGGATCTTACAACACAATAAGGGAAATAAATATATATGTCGCCTCGGCTGGATCGGAAATTGAATCTATCCAAATTGTTTATGATAATATTGAAGGAAAGGCAGTGTCGGGAACAAAGCATGGTGGTGGTGGCGGAACACATTACCCGGTAATATATATATATATATATATATATATATATATATATATATATATAATTTTATTTTTAAATCTGTGCACAAATTTGTTTGATTCTACATTCTGACCAAAGAAGTTTAATTTGCTATTCTTGACATATATATGAGTCTCATTAATTAATATATATAATTTTGAGCAACCTTCCAATTAAATTGAGTAATTACAATATTCTCCCCTCATGTGATAATGGAACAAACAAAAATTCAATCATTAATCCGATTGTTTTGAAGTAAAATATTTTTCTCAAAAAGTATTTTCTTTTTTAATTAAAATATATTTTTATTTTTATTTTTTTGGTGTTTGACAAAGTTTATATCAAAATAATGTCAGGTCCATTGGCATGTTTACATCTTGTATCTTATGATAATTGATGAATATGTTATTTTGGTTATGGTATTAATATTCTTTTTTTCGTAAATATATTCGGACAATCAAATACTAAAAAAATAAAAATATATTTTCTAAAACATGTTTTACATCTTGTATCTTATGATTTTACCATTTCGCACTATTTTATATTCTGATTTGACAAACCTAACTCCAAATTTAAATAAAAGTAGAAGAAGACAAAGTATAAAAGTAAGAGAGGACAAGAACTGCATAGGGGATTATATTCGGATTGCTTGAATAGTATTAACATTAATAATTCAACAATTACTTCGCGCATCAATTCTAAGATCACCATACGATACCTTAAAAAGACCCCAGCTAGTAATCTAACATTCGTGAGGTCTTAATTCCCTTAAAAAGACCCTGCCTCCCTGTCCCAGCCCGTTCACTATATTGTATAATTTTTATGTATATATATGAATTTTTTTACATAAATTTACAATTGCTAAAAACATCTCTTAATTTTTTTATATCGCTTACAAAAAAACGTTATATTCCCTTCTTCAAAAGAACCCTAGTTTTTTTTTTTTTTTTTTTTTTTTTCATTTAGTTCTCTAATTTAATTTTTATTTTATTTTTTCCTTTTTCTTCTTCTTCATCTTTCTTCTTTTCTCTCACCATAAAATTCTTCTTTCTGCACTCATGTATGATATATGTACCGTAACCTTTTTTTCTCTTTTTATTCTTTTTATTTTCTTGTCTTCTTATTTAAATTTTTACTGTAATTTTAGAACTCAATGTGTGCATTTTTTATATTTGAATTTTTCTTTATTGACTTTTTATTTTCTTTTATTTTATGAATAATGACGTTCAATTTGAATCTTGACTAATGAATCATTGCTGCACTTTTATTTTCAGATTACTGTCTTACCGCACTTTAAATTGTCATGCTAGTTGAAAAAAACAAATTAATTTATCATTTTCAAAATGCCTCCCCTGAAATAAATTCCTGTCCCAGTCTCTGCTTTTTTATGCATCACTAAATTGATTAAGGCTAATTAAATCAATGGGGAAATATGATAACTGCCAAATGTTACGTAGATAATGAGGCTATCATGCATTACTTTCAAATACCAATACCCATCCAAGCCAGTTGTAATTGTGGTGAATGGAGAAATATTACAAATCAATACTTTGGTTTTTATATTTGTCCAAGTATTTATCTTTCTTATACTATTGCTTAATTAGCATATTATTTTTTAAAAAAAATTATTTTATTTTTTCTTTGTTTGTGTTTTGATTTGAACAATTAGATATTTGTCATTTAGTTGACAAGCATATAAATTTGTGACCCGAATTTAGTTTGGGCTGGTTCCTGTTGTAACCTGATTTGATCTGATTATTGCGCTTTGCCTCCAAATTATTATTGTTTGACCCATTTTTGTATTGTGGATCATGCACCTGGATTCTAGTCTGCACTGTAATGAGGTTTTTAGTGTGGCATGAGAACACACTGAAATACAACAAATAGAGTTAGACAGAGATAAAAGATTGTGGGATTGAAAACTTTTAATCTCCAATATTTTTTCACATAGTAAAAACTTTTTGCCAATCTTCACTGTATATGTTGTTCTTTTTCTTTTTTTATTATATTTTTGGTTGACTGGTTTGTTGTAATACATAAATTTATCTTTGTTGATTGAAATCTTACAGGTGAAATTAGACTACCCTACCGAATATCTCGTTTCAATATCAGGGTACCTTGGTGGGTATTATAATAATAATTTTCTTGTTGTAAGATCTCTTACATTACACACCAATACAAGGCAACATGGGCCATATGGTAGGGAAGAAGGGACGCGTTTTATAACTCCGCTAATTGGTGGCAAGATTTTTGGTGGGAAAATTGTTGGATTCTTTGGAAGGGCGGGTGTTCGTTTGGATTCGATTGGAGTATACATCAAGCCATTCCCTACTATAATACCTAGTGTTGGTCCATTTGGAGCGACATTACGTGATGGCGGACAACAGTGGGATGACGAAATCTACAGCACGGTAAGAGAAATAACTATATACTCCGGATGGGTAATTGATTCTATACAAGTTGTCTATGATCTTGAAGGAAGGCTAGTGTCAGGCAAAAAGCATGGTGGTGACGGTGGACAAGCAAACCCGGTAATATATATTTATATACATAATGCATTTTGACATTCAAATCTGCCACTCATACACAAATTTATTTGATTTTATAGTTGTCGTGTGTCTCTCATGTTTTGTGAGGAAAAAAAAGTGACAGGTTATGTACACACAAATTTCGTTATGTATGTGGTCAAATTAGACTACCAGGATGATAACAGAATTTTCCTTTTTAGTTGGAAGTTTTTAAAACTCAAGCTTTCATTTATACAAATATGAATGACTTGCATGCTTATCCTTCTTTTTTACCAATATAACTTATGTAGGTGGTCAAATTAGACTACCCGGATGAATTTCTGGTTTCAATTTGGGGGTACTGTGGACAAGTAGCTAACATGGTTTGTATCCGATCTCTTGGATTTCAAAGCAACAAAAGAATGTTTGGACCGTTCGGCGTGGAAGAAGGAGAGAAATTTGAAATCCCATCCACTGGTGGCAAGATTATCGGATTCCACGGAAGTTCTCACGACTATCTTACTTCAATTGGAGTATATCTCGACAAGTGAGGATACAATTTAGACATTAATCATGAGCCACCATCTACTTTTCTTTGAATCATAAATAATTTAACTACGTTTGAATTCGACGCAGTTACAATAATGGATACTATGTGTTGTCCTTTAAACTTGGTGAAAGTGGTTAAGGCAACACAAACTTGTGTCCCTGTGATTTTCTGTACTTTTCATGTATTTTTGTGTGTTAAGCTTGAATGTTTGGGTTAGTTATGTATTTTGTGAAACTCTTAATTCAGTGATAGGATGTCTAATGTTATCTCATGTTCCTTATAATAAATTGGTGATTGTATTTGCGAAAGAAGAATCTTGTTGGCTATGAAATATTTACACTCTATATTTGGTTTAAAAATATGGTTTGATAAATCATGATCATATGACATTGGGATTTTTTTTTTTTTTTTTAGATGGATAGTATAAATGAACTCTGCCTTTATCCAAAGATTCCAAACTCTGCTACCAGGCATAACATCTCGTTCATGCTTCAAAGAGAAAAATATAGATTTAACATCAAATTTTTTTTTTTTTTGAATAATTCATGTCGTTTTCATATAGTTGTAAAGATAACTTCCTCTAGAGTTTAGAGAACTTGCAAATAACAGAGAAAATTAAGGGCGGAACTAATGAAGGCCTGGTCCATTGGGCCATTGTAATATATATAGTTTAGGGAGTTAACGCTCTAAAATATTATTAAGGGAAAATTATATATTAGTGACCTTAAAGTCAAGAAAAGGTGAATAGTGACTAATTTTGAAACTTAATTGATATTAAGTAACCATTTGATGGTTTATTAGTCTTCTTATAATATATTATTATGTAAGTAAACAAATTTACCCTCTACATTAACCTAAATAAACACTTACTTAAAGTGACTAACAAAAAGATGACAGATTATTAGGGTGAGTCTCTGAAGAGAAGATCAAGATGGGAGAGAACTGATGATGGATATTATACATCATTTTCTTCAAGATTCTAAAAGACATGACGAGAAAATTGAAAATTTTCTTCTTATTCATTATTTTCAAGGTATAGTTATTATACTTTACGAGTTGATTTGTCTGAGAAATCTTCCTTAAGATATAAGATTGTAATTTTTACGAATTTTTAATACTACTTAGTTATAATTCAAGAAATAATGACTATTGTTGATTAATTTCATAATTTTATTAACGGTTAAAGGGTGTTTCAAAAGTATGATTTGCCACTGTAAATGTTATGAGCGTTCATACTGGAGAGCCTTGAAAAATAAATAAAGGATGGAAAAGAGATAATGTTGATAAAGAAATTTTAATTTTTTAAATTGGTAAATTGTAAACTAGAAAGGAAAAAAAAAAAACATTGGATTAGAGAGAGAGAGAGTAGGAGGAGGATGAATTTAATGACTTATTATTTATATTGGATGGCAATTTTGTCATCTAAAATTTATTTTTAAAATGTTTATTAAACTTTTAAGTGTTTTTGACCAAATTATCCTTAAATGGTTACTTAATATCAATAAAGTTTTAAGATTGGTCACTATTCACCTTTTCTTGACTTTAAGGTCAGTATATAGCAATTATGTTTAATTTTAGTCATCAAAATATAATTTTCCCTATTATTAATATTGGCGCTCTAAAATACTATTAAAGCACTCTATTATTTTTATAATAGTATAATACTAAAAAATCCCTTATGGTCTGTTTGGTTAGACAGAAAATTTTATGGAAAGTGAAAGTGAAAGAAAGGAAAATCATGTTTCTATCATTCATTTGGTTAGCTAGAAATATTTTGAACAAAGTTGTAAGAAAATATTATTTTATTAGTTTGGATAGCATGAAAAAGAAAAGAAAATGATTATACTTACTGAAAATACCCTTATAATTTTAAATAGTAAAAAAATAAATAAATTTATATTTGATAAATATTATTTATACTTAATTATTTATTTTAGTAAGAAAATAGTGAAATATGGAATAGAATAGTATGTGATATCATAATACAATTTTTTAGCTTTATCCTCTCTCTATATATATTCACTTGTTCCGTAAACTTGAATTCTCGATCTTTTATTTTTTAAGGTAAGAAAAATAAGTTTTTAGTTGAGTGGCCTATCAAAGTTCAAGTATTTATTTTCTCTTTATGTTAGTTTTAATTTTATTATTTATTTGTAAATGATGTAACTGGTAACTATATATCTAATTATAGCTACAACTTTCTCACTGAGAAAATAAAATCATAGACAGATTATGTAAACTATTTACGAATCATCAATTATTTATTTCAAGATAATGTTTGATATTAAGTATGAAACAATTTATGTTAAGATTATGTAGACTAGTTTTCACCTAACATTCAAAAAAAGAAAAAAATAATAGTAATAATTCAGTAATAAAAGGAAAAAATTAATTAATTTTGGATGTACATATAAAAAAAATATAAATAATTTAATTAGTAATACATGATTTTATAAAATAAAATAAATTAAAAATTTTGAGGAAAATTTTCAGATGCGAAAATCCTATTTTTCTCAAAACTTTCACTTTCCCTTTAACCAAACTTCCAAAAAATTTATTTATTTATTTATTATTATTATTATTTTTTTCCTGGTTGCTTGACGCTAATCAAACGGACTCCAATAGTCCGTCTCCCTTCTCTTATTCCAATCTCCATCTCCAAGCCTCTACAATTTGTCTTTTTCCTCTCTCTTTCTCTCTCTCTCTATATATATATATATATATATGCGATGCTATCAGGTTTACTTATAACATTTGGCTTAACCTTTGCCTGATTAAACTAAATGTTTACAATTTATTTTTCTTTGAGACACTTTTTCATTCATGCACTTTGCCTTGTAATGTTGAATAACCTAAGAATACAAACAGACCCGGAACACATTTTGCCTGTAAATGTTGGAATACCTCACACCCACACCCACTGTAATGACCCTGTGGATGGGAGTGTCGTAGGTAGGTACGAGACACTGATAGGTTATTACACTAGGCGAGTTACGGGTGCATAATCTCACATCGCTTGATAAGGGGTTGGTGAAGTGCTTATATCTGATAGTATTATCTCTAATTAGTATAAGACTTTTTGGAGTAAAGTTTAAAAGCAAAACCGTATGGGCTCAGGTCCAAAGCAGACAATATCATACTATGTAATAGAGTGGGTCGTTATAAATGGTATCAGAGCTTGACCCAACCGGAAGTGTGCCGACGGGGATGTCGGGCTTCCAAAAGGGGTGGATTTTGATGACCTTGTGGACGGGTGTGCAGTATGTAGTTATTAACATAACCCCTTTTGGGGTAAAGCCCAAGAGTAAAAACCGTCGTAACTCAAATTCAAAGCGGACAATATCATACCATGTGAATCGTTACCCTCACATGCAGAAGGGAAAAAAGATAAAAAGAAGGTAACTAAAAAGAAAAAAGAAAAATTAAGTCGCTGATGAAATTTTGATGCGTCTGCAAATCAAGGAACGCTTTTTGTCACAAACATTAATTTCATCTTAATGCACTTCTACAATTATACTCGCTCCCCAACCTACGCATTAACCACCAATAACGCTTTTACCCTGGTCGTATTTGTCACAAACCAATAATACTTTTATAGCGTTACATATGAAACCTATCTTCTCTTTAGTCTTCTTTAATAAACATAAGCTTGATATTGCAATTTTCTGTAATTAAATTAGATCTGTCGCCATTCATAAACAGTTATCATTTCGGTCATCCATAGTTTTCTTGTATGGTGACTATGTCTATATTAGATTCTATTGTCTATGTTATATATTAAGGTTATGGTTAGCGGTCTTCACCTAAACTCATTATCATATATATACCAATATTATATATAGGGTTTATTTGCTCTCCACCCGTGTTCTCTTATATAAACCCTGTAAAAAAATTCTCTCTAGGAACTCTCTTACTGGACTGAGCCAATGAGGGGTAAAAAAGTTGACTTGGCAGTTGAATTAAATTTATATTTACCAAATTTCTAATATATACATATAACTTCCGTATACAATATATCTATTATTTAATGAATTTGACTTTCACTTTATGGGCTCAGTTGATTGAAATTTGAACATCCTAAAAGAAAGAACGAAAATCCTAAAAAAAAAAAAACAAAAAAAAAAAAACTACAGGAAACAAAACAATGCAGATTAGAAGAAGAACAATTAAAAAAGGAAATTTTATTTCGATCAAAAGATAAATTTGTAAATATTTCTCTTTGATGCAAACAATCCTTCAAATTTTTATAAGATTTGGGGTCAAAGAAGAACAAATGATATACGAGTTAAGGAAAGAACAAAATAATAAACAAGACTTACCAAAGTTAGAACAATTTCTTTCCTGATGCGAAAAAGAAGAAAAAGTAAAGTATTTTAATTTCATTCAAAAGGTAAAGTTGAATGGTATAATAATATACTTTGTATAATGTATTGTATAAAATAAACATATAGAGATTAATACATATGGTAAAACAAAATGTAGTTGATTAAATTTTTTTCTTCATTTGCTGACTTGACAATGACAAGAATATGTTGAGGTGGTGATATTAGTCACCACTATTAGATGTTCACTGAATGTGATCCAATAAAAGAGTAGAGTAACTGGAGAGGATTTTTTTTCCTTGAAGTGTTTGTGGATGGTGGTGAGATTCAATAGAATTAAGAAAAATCACTTATTAACCACTAAATATAGGAAACATTGAATCATACCTGATTTTTTTTTTTTTTTTTTTTAACTATTACTAAGTTCATTTTTTTAATTAGTTCACATGTGAACTGCAGTTACCAAAGAATTGTTCCGTCATTTTATAAGAGATCCACCCAGTGATGAAAAAACAAGAATTGTGGAATATAAGTGCATGGGTCGGTGTGTCTTTTTTTTTTTTTTCGGAAGTTAAGTCTTTTAATGTTTTACAATGAGAAAACGTAGCAGTAACTCCAGGTGTGAATACATTATATAATACTAATAATGAAAAGAATGTCGATGTATAATAGATAATGA